TTTGCGGTGATTGTACACAGTGATGATAATCCTTTTGAAATAATAGAAATCATTATTTTGTTGTCGAGTAACGAGCCAGCAAAGGTCGCGAACTTAGGTGCCAAAAATAGAGAACTTGCAAGCGTTCCGATAGCAACGACACCAGGACCTAATGAGGTATGCAGACTTTGGTCATAATTATGTTCCTCCTCAATAAATATCTTCTCAATCTGCTCGTCTTTTAGTTGCTTCAAGAAAGGCAGTTATCTTTCTAGGTTCTTTATGATTTCTATTTTAAACTGGCTTTCAGATAAAATATTCCCATCGATTTAAGGAGCTGAGTAAGTTAAATGAGACTCAGAACTTCGGAATGACCTAACTTGAAAAGCATTAATCATAAAGCTTTGGTAATTGCTCCAATTGAAGTTTCTGCCCTAAAGCATTTCAACGCCGTCTTTAGCATCCATTATTATTTATTCACCTTGAATTTTAGGATTCACGAGCTTGATAGAGTCAAAAACCATTTCAATATCACCCTTTTTTGAAATACAGATAGGACCGAGTGACCTCGATTGACCTATATCTGACGTTCTTACCCGTGATCCTGTAAGGCCACCTGTTTTTGTAGTTGTAATTACCTAGTCAATTTCTTAAACATCCAAAAATTATAATGTATCACCTGTAAAGCTGACCTTGCCACCTGCCTCAATGACAGGAGCTTCAAAACTCTAAGGTCCAGCAGAACTTAAAAAAGTGATTTGTTCATTAGCTCTTACTTCTTCTCTCTTGTATCTTCTTCAGAATTCATTTGTTGCTACATTTTTTGAGCCACAGAGTCCTCTAGACTTTTTATGTGACGAAGTGTGTCTATAGTCAAGAGATTCTGGGATGCTGGTTATACCTCCATTTTAGGACTTAAAGTGCAACGATCCTTCATTTGCTTAGGTCAAGGTTGCCTTTTAGAATATTCCTTCTTTGCCGTCAAGATAGCCGTCTCCATGCTCAAGTAAGATTGTATCTTGGCAGGCTATGACTTCTTCAGTAGTGTCTGGAGTATAATATCTAGCATTATGTTTCTCAGATTGTCTAACTAAATGTTTCCCTGCCCTTATTTGCAGTTTAATTTCTTCTCTATCTCGTACGTTATTACTTAATGCTGTATCTCTCTTTTCAAGAATGATCCTAGAATTCTTCAGTACAACGTTTTCTTCAGCTGTAGCCTTCAAGCTTTTAGATGCAATGATTCCAAACTAA